CCGCAAGTCACACGAAAGAAAGCAACTCTCAAAGGACGCGCGCTACAAGTCACCCTCTCAAAGGATGTATCCGGAATATACCGACCGCAAGGGAGACACGAGACTGGTAACTCTATAAATAAAAAAGCAAAAATGGATAAATCAGGAACGAGCCGGCCAAACGGCTCCTGTTTCCGTTATCCAAAAAAAAGAGAGAAAAAATGTCGGTACCCTTTGTCCTTGCTTCAGTCTGCTCTAACGGGTTATTTTTTGTTTCCCAACGGGCGTTCCGAGTTCATGGTGGAAAAAAGAGGATAGGAAAGTGGTTAGTAATGACGAAGGGCACAATAGCGAATAGTTAACGCATATAGCTGCGTAGGGGTTGGGTGCGGACGGGGTTGCTCCGTTGTTGCTCGTTGGTGGCTGTAATGACGTGAGCATGTTGTCCGAGTGATACAGAATGGCCAGCGACATTGGGTCGCGAGCGAAGCATTGAATTGTAGGGAAGAAAGGAGACGCGGGCGAGATCAGTTAGTGGCCTTCATTTGGGTGCAAATGGAGTTTTTCCTAAATGGACGTTTCGAAAGTTTGCCGTTGTCAGGCATTGTTTGGTCGGCGGCAGGAAGGACGAGAGCTTCAGGAGCGAGTGCAATGTGAAATCAGTCTGCCAAGGCTTTGATTAGCTGGCGTCACGAGGTCAAAGGCTTCCTCGATTGTTCGCCTCGTATTTATAGTTGGTTCGTTCATTTTCCTCGCGGCAATTGTCGCTCTGCTGTTCCCCGTCTTTCCCGTATTCTTCGTATCATTATCTTTTTTTTCCTTTTCTTTCTTTCTCCGGGAGAAACTGGGATTGCTTCTCGTGGAGAAAATATGATAAGAGAACACTTTGTCTTATTATTATTTCATATGATTAAAAAATCCATTGATGGTTAAATGAATTTTTAAAAATCGTTTATTCTGCCATTCTACATTTCCTTCTTTTTCAATTTCAATTTCGAATTTTTCCACCTTATTTTTCCTTGTTTGCATCAAAGCGGGTCGTTGTTGCTTCGGTTCCATCGTGTAGTTGATTATAGATAACCCACGCCGCGGTTTGTTTGCTGAAGCTCTTATCTCTGTAACACCATACTTGATACAATTAATCGTATACTTATTATCTATATTATATGTTAGCTACTTGAATGAAAATTATCAAGTAAAGATGTGTTATGAGAAGACGTATTACCAGAAGATAATTCCTGTTTGATAAGCTCGCGATATTATCCAAGATTATTATCCACGAAACTGATAGTATTTACTTTCTCTTTTATTTGATTACGATTGAAAATAGATGTTTCGTGTCGAATGCGAAAATCCCTGAACGAAGTAAATTTCCGAAGCTCAATCGGACGTATATATCGCTACGTGATCGAAACACGAGCGACGGACACTAAAAGGAAAAGCAACGATTTCCCGTTGCTTTACGACAGTAATTAAGCGCGACTTCGCTTCGGAAACCGCAACTAATGCTTGCCTCCATTCGATCTCGAAGCTTCATTTGCCCGCGCATCCAATGACGCCGTGCCACTTTGATCTCGAGTTGAGCACTTACGAAAGTGAGATCGCTCAATCTATGAGCGCATTAGCGTTTATTTACTATCGAATCAGCAGTTCGCTGGAACGCGTTTCCCGAATAAGTTGAAAAGAGCTATCAAATAGCAGCTTTACTAGATCCGATTTAAAAAGGGCTTCCTAATTCGCCTATTTGTTTACGTTGTCGTTTTTAAATCCAGTCGTTCCTCTACCAAAGTATGCATATGAAATTTAAAAGAACGATTTTGCTGAAGTACCTAAAAATTTAGCTAAATGAAAGCAGATTTGAAAATAATTTTCGTGGACTATCAAAATAATTACGTTTTAGAAACCTTAAGCATAATGAACATACTAAGAAAAAAACATCGAAGTGTTGCAAAGCACGGTTACATTTTCTTTGATATTTATTAGTTAATTTAATTGCGATGATAAAATATATATTTTCGTGAAATATATTTTATTAATTATAAAAAAGTGAAATAGATTATTTGGGGAATAAAATTTTAATTTACCGTATTTAAGTAAAGATTTATTTCAGTGAAATGTATATTTTTCACAAATAAATCTGTAAGTATCTTTTTTTAGTGCAGTGTTTTGCAACAAATTTTTACATTCTAGCAACCAGTTTAAGCGCTTTATATAATTATTTTAATCCAACAAAATTATTTTCAGATCTGCATCTAGCTAAATTTTTAGATACTTCAACAAAACTATCCTTTCCGTGTAAATTTAATAAATTTCTGATGTAATAAATAGATTTAATAAATTTCTGTGTAGTGCCGAAGGTGGAAATTGTGGATGAGCATGGTGCTACGGCTGGTGACAAGTTCTACAAAGCAGGTAGTACAATAGAGCTGAAGTGTGTAGTCAGCAATATACCGCAACCCACTGGCTATGTCACGTGGCGACACGGATCTCGTACGTTAAATTACGACACGACTCGTGGTGGCATCAGGTAAGCAATAGACGACATAATATTTGGGTACTGCAAGAACTTAAATGTGATGCAATGTAATTCCGGTGATATACCAATTTGTAATTATCGAGCAAAGCATCGGCTTTGATCTGTATTCGTCGTTACATTATGTATGTTATCTGTTTGATGTATAGCTGACGGTGCTTAAATATAGCTAATTAACATTCTGGTAATTCAGTCGACGAGAACTCGATAGTTTATGCAAACTGCATAGACAGGCATTCTAATTGCCTCGATAAAGAATGGCACGCCCGGTGAATTTTGAAAGGCTTCTATTAAAGTTCTCGAGCGACGGTCAACAATTGCGGCGGCTTCTGGATGTATGTGACCTAATTGGTTATAGATATGACGGCATTCATGAATTTCAAACAGCGCTTCAGACAGTATTTGATGTTGTCGGTTTCGTAGAACGGTTTTTTTCAATCAGCGGTTCATCGATAAAACAATTTTGAAAATTTTCTCAGACGTAGCGCAATATAGTTCCTTTGTCTCGCAGTTTGAGGTACCTGCTTTGTTCGTTTTTCCTATAATTGGTTAGTTTACAATTGACAATTTACACGATAATAACTTGATAATAGTACTATCTATGAGAAATTAGCAATATCGTGATATTAATTCTGAAAGAAAGGATACGAGATACCAGGTGAACTGTTGACAATTTAATCACTCTCGAAAACGCTCGATTATAGTGGGCCGATTCACATAATGAATGAGCTCATTGCTTGTACAAACGTAAACAGCGGGTTTTGAATAAAACATACAAAACTTTTAATCACAAACCGGGTCACAAGTACGATTAGCAGAAATTAAGTCGATTAATTGAAATTAGTTGCGGAATTTTATTTTAGAACAATTGAGAAAAGCGCCCTTGTATATAATATTATTTTATAGTAAATATAATTACTAAAAAATACTTGATTAAGTATTTCAGTACCAAATTTATTTTTTCAAGTTATTAATTAAAATTTTAAAATGTTTGACCAACATTATCTCAATACTTTTTTTTTAAACAATTTTTTTAAATGAACTAACAATTTAATTTTACAACAAAAATCAGAACGAAAATTGATATTTATTAGGTCTGCATTTGGAAAAATATTATATTTCGTCATGTTTAATAGCACAGTCTTTTTCATAGAATTTGATATCTTTGAAATTTGCAAAAATATTAGACGATAATTCAAGCAGCACTTTCTAGAAATTTTGATGGCATTTAAGATAGTATTTATAGATAAAAAATTATATCTATAAAAGTAATTATATCTTAACGTAAGCGGAATGCAAGATCCTTTCGCCACTCTTAAGTATGTCCGTGTGAGTGTGGTTGTAAAATTTGCTAAAAGTATTATAGAGCATAAAGCTCATGCCACGTAGAAAAACGTAAGATAATAAGACATAAGCAGTAAGCGAATCGGCCAATTACAATAGAGTAAGGTTATTGCCTTATCAATTGCAACCTTACCCTACAAACACAAGAGTAGTAAGCCTTAAGCCTTAAGGAATTTATCAATCATAGTCAATGGCTACAATTGCACCGTGCTCTTAGTCCGCGACCTAAACAATGGGTGTCCTTGTTTAATCTATAGGTTAAACAAAGACATCTATCGTATAGGTCGCGGACTAAGCACACAGTGTAAACCAGGCCTATTACTCTTCTCACATTCGACTGTGATTGATCAATTTTTTAAAGCTTACTACTCTATTGTATTTGCGAGATTATCGCTTACATCTTACTGTCTTACATTTTTGAATTTCTCTTTATTATAAAAAAATTTGTTAAAAAAGTCAATATCAGCTAAAGTCAGCGGCACAAAATGCATAATTGGTTGCATTTTTTAATAAATTACTAGAATTACATCACATAGAACGCAGGATTTCTAGTAATTTACTAAAATGCAAGAAAATATGTATCATATGCCACTGGCTTAATATCAGCCAACAAATTTTTGTCATAAATATGCCCTGCAAAAAGCAAAATAAATGATTTGGCTTATAATGGCTTTATGCGAAATGACCATATTTCACTGTAGTTTTAGATAAATAACTTTTAAGCGAGTAAGTAGCTCCAAATGAACTTTTACACGAATATTTATTAGAGTTTTATTAGTACATATAACAAATTTAATTTAATTTGTTATGCTACGACCTTATCAAATTGTAATTATACATATACTACAGAACATCATTTTACATAAGAATCAAGGCAGATGAGCCATTATATATATATAAAAAATTAAATGACTTTTAATGAACTTTAAATGAGAATTGTGTGTAAATTTTATACACATATATAGAATAATAAAACAATGTATGAAATTTTTAATTTTTTATGCTTTGAGCTGTGAGACATAATCCCGAATAACATTTAATTTTTAAATTTTATAGTTCTAAAAAATTGAAAATATTAAACGAAATATCAAATAACGTTTTCTAGAAATTTTGCATAAATTAGCATTTATAAGTAAAATTACATTCTTTCATTCATTCAACGTTACATTTTTTAAATCAGACGTTGGGTAGATCGTGTAAGATGTAACAGTTAATTATTTGTTTTCCGGACAAATACACGCGAACGACATGACATAATGCGGGAACCAGGACAGCATGTAGAATGCGTGCGCAATTTATTGAGTGCATTCTATTACCTTTTGATTACCCCTGGTAGACGGTTTTGCGAGATCGTTAAACCGAACATGTCAAATGCAGCGCCGCAAATAAACGACGGTCGATCACACGTCGTCTATCGTGATTACTGGCTCGCTGGATCCTATAATGGCATGCAGGCTTTCCTCACTTGATGGGCCATTATGAAAAGACTGTATCATCATATCTTGCAAGTTACGCTCGCTATACCCTGAAAACGTTTTCACAAGTGTTCCGTAGATTATATAGGGAAGAAGAGTATAGGTGTAAGGAAAAATAATCGAACTTCATGCTATTTATAACCTTCGCGAAATAATCGTAATTGTAGGCTAAATTTATTACTTCAATGAAAAGAGAAAATTTGGGAATATCTACTAAATGTACCTCTGGTGAAAATTTTTCTCAGAATTTTTGTACGAATTAGACGCTTTTCAGAAATACCGAGAAAGTCTACAATCTTTCTCAATGTTAGAACTTTTTATGTATACAAATTCTGAAACATTCTAAAATTTTTTAAATCGTATTCTGTAATTTCTGAAAAAATACTTTAAACTTTTATAGATTTTATAAACTTCATCAGAAATTATAGAATGAGATATTTTGGAATATTTCAGAATTCACACATATATAAAGAAATCTAGAAAAAAAAAGATGTAAACTTTTTCAGCACTTTTAAAAAGTGTTCCAATTTATATAAAAAAGTTTTTTTAATGTTAAAAATTTTCTAAAAAGTTATAAAATTATTCAGAATTCTGAAAAATTCTGAGAAATATTTTCATCAGCTTGATGAAATATTTAATCAACGTTTTCAAACAAAATAATAATAAAAGTTTCATATTAATAGAAAAGTTAGATAATATAGAATAAATGAAAATAATAATTAGAAAGGTAAAATAATTTAGAAAAGTAAAATTAGCATTTAATTAATTCAGGTTATACATATTAATCGAATTTTAATTGAATATATTGCATCAAAGATTTTTCATAACTATCATCTAAACTTGATTATTATTAAACCTTTTTCAGTGCTCTAACTTAAAGTTTTGATTTGCCATTCCAGGAATATATGTTAGTTCCTTATTACATTAGTTTCTTATCTCATCTAACTTTATAGGCTTGCACATTTCTATCTGCTTGTTGATGCGAAAACTCACTGGTTACACGTTAAACGTCCGAGGAGCAAGGTTGATATAGAAGGCAGTACACCGGTGAAGTTAGTTAGCAGTATAATGTTATTATGTTCTACACATAGTATTACACTTCACCGTCTCTAGTACCTCGTACGTAGCTTGCCGACCTCCTGTCTATTACTCTTCACCTTGGGCGTTCCCTAAGTTGGTCAAGTCTGTGAGTGCACACTCTGAGCACGCATCGTCAACGCGCGATGCTAAGCTCAACGTAATCAAGCTATTCTAATGGAAAAAGCGATAATAACGAAATACGTTGCAATACGTGACATCCAATATTGGACACGCAGTTACGGAAGTTTTTTAAATTCTACACAGATTGTTAAAATATCAATTGTTGTCAGTGCAATATTTCTGTCTGTAATTTGAGTCTTTTTTGGCAACATCAAAATCTCGTTCTCAAATTTCACCTTTATTTTTGCTCAAATTTCAAGTTTTTATTAAATAAAGGCTTAAACATTTGAGCTAAAAAATTATTTAGTAATGTAATAGAGATATTAAAAAGTAACCTTGAATTCTTTTTGAAAGCCAAAAAGTTGAGTTGTATAAAAAAGACCCAGATTGTAAATGAAGGGAATAAATATATGATTGTAGACAAAGAGATGTACTACCATCTGCTTGCAGTCCATCCGTATTAACGCAATAAATTTAGAAATAGTACATTTAATCTCGTAGAAAGGAATTGCAAAAGGATTAATTAATGTAATCACAATTGACATTCTGATATTAATTAACATTAACTAATATGGATATTAGTATTAATATCAATATTATATTAGTATTAATATTTGATATTACTTTTAATAATTTAACGTCACTCATAGTTACAATTTCACAATATTCTAATAATGTTGAAAATGTTTGTGGAAATATTAGATCCTTAAGCTTTTATGGACTCATCTTCATCTTTAGAAGAGAGTGATAAAACTTGAAATCGAATGTTTCTTTTGTTAGCTTAATAATGGATTTTGAGTTAATACGTTATTGAAGACACCGAAATATAAAGAGAAATGTATTGCACATTGTACACAATGATATGTGTCATTGGTCGACGCCCCGATGCTCGTTCGTAATAGTGATACGTGCGGGCTGATCCATTACTCGGCAAATCAATTAGGACACGGGCGTCGTAGCGCGGAAAAAAGCGTG